CTCTTCCGAACGCGCTTAAAACAGGTGTCGATTTAAAATAACACTAGTCACTCGGAATCACACCCTTGGAGTGGAGAGGCCTGGGTTCTATTCTCAGTTCTTGCCCTGATTCGCTGCGTGACCTCGGGAAAAATAACCCTGCTCTGTGGACCTCAGTTTCCCCATTTGTGACATGAGAGGGTGTGACGCAGCCTGGCCCTCTCAGGACCCTCAGCCCTGAGCAGCCCTTGTAAATTACGTTTAAAAGAGGAGACAATCCAAGGGCCTGGCCGCCAGAGGTCGTCCTTGCTCACTTTCTTGGCTCTCTAGACCTTCCCGCTCGACACCCCCCCTCCCCCCGCCCTCGCGCGCGCGCACACACACACACACACACACACACACACACACACACACACCCTACCTCACTCTGGGCATCTGGACTGGACATTTGTCAAGATTTGGGAACCTTGTGTCACCTCTCTGGTTAAGTGTGGATTGGCCATACTTCAACACTGATTAAGATCTGGCCAGGCCCTGAGGTTTCTCAGGACATCCTGAGACCTAAGATGGTGTGTCCCTAGACCTGCAAACCAGAGCCCAATTCAGTGAACTCAGAGACTGGCAGTGGCAGGGAGCTGGCATGTGGAGGAGTGAGTCTCTTCTTTGGACCTGGAAGGTTTGGGGCCAGACCCAAGAAATAGACATTTAATCCCATCTTCGCTGTGGTTTGGCTTAAAACTGGTTCCTGTATGTTAGAAATGTTCAGGCTCACTTAACTTATACAATATGAAATTCCACTTAAAACATGTATAGTATCACTTACACACACCCGAAATTGTTCAGCACTGTTCAGATGACAATTTTCAAGCCTTCCCACCAATGTTTGCATCTTATTCAGCTATTCTCTTGCCTACTGGACAAACATTTAAAGTGAAAATTAAGGAAGAAAAAAATCTAAATACAGAAAAATATATCTATTACACATAAGGGTTCAATCATTCTTGTTGTTGGGTGGTGTTTTTGGTTTTGTTTTGTTTTGTTGTCAATTTTAGCTTTAGAACACCCATGGTTTACAGGAGTTCATAATCTACGTAACTAAATTTATGAAACCCTTCTGTAAAATGATTTTCAAATGTCAGGTCTGCTCAAAGCGAGAGGCACTGGAAGATTTTACTCATCCTTGCTGGTCTTTCCAGGTCCCACTGTCTGCTATCCTTACCCCTCAGGGAGGAGCAGCTGGGGATGCCCCACTCCCTCTTGCTCATTTACTCGCCATAAGAACGCAGAGTTCAGCTCTGCCAAAACCACATAGACAACCTAGGATACAACACTGGCACAGCCTGCATAAACCAAGATTGGTGCCTCCATGTTCTGATGGAGCAGTCCCAACCCCATGCCACCTCCACCAGATTGAACTCCATTTCTGACTGGGGCCTCCACGGGAGGGGGGAACACTCAGTGCTGGAAGAGCTTTAATACTGAGGGGGGCTCCATGTTGAGACGGCTCAAAGAGAGCTTCTTTTCCAAGCCCCCCTATGGCAGAGATGTTCCTGTCCTGGTACAAAGCCCACACTCAGGGCCCCCTGTGAGGGCCTCTCACCCTGTCATCAATCCCAGCCCCCCTGCCCAAGGGCCACATGTCCCCTCCTAGAGCTGAGGTGAGCCAGAAGAGACCGCTCATAGATGGAGCTCTGGTACCAGGTCACCCTGTTGTGGGAGTGACCCCTGCAGGGTGACCCTCCCCAGGAAGACCCATTGTAATTCTGGGCCTCAGGAGAACCCATTGTGAAATTGGCGTGCCCCGGCAGGTCAGCCTTCTATATGGTAGGCCCACCCCAAAGTGGGGAGAGGTCCCATGGAGCCCCAAGCCTCCAACCTCACCTAGCCCTGCTCCTCCGTCCCATAGCAGTGGCCACTCTGGGTAAGCTCCAGCTTGGGCCTGTCCTTGCATGTTGCAAACAGTGGGTAGCATGACTAAAGTTGCCATAGCAATTCCTGGGACAGTGATGTCAAGGGACCCAGGGGTCCCTGGGACCAGTTTCCACACAGACACAGAGCTGGCCAGTAGCCACATTCCACACCATCCACTCAAGTCAGATAGGGACGCCTCTGGGTACTTCCACCCACCTCCCATAAGCATGACAGGCATGATGCATGGCCTCTCTCCCACAGCCTCAAGCAACCCCGTGAGAGATGCTGGGCCTCCTTTTCACATTGTCCAGAGAGAGGGGAAGGGACCAGGGCAGCCCAACTGTGGTAAGAGAGGGAATTCCACAAAACTGAGCCCCACCCCCCAACCTTGGCTCTGCACACATGGGCTGGAAGCGGGATGCAGACGCTCACAAAAAGTCTGAATTCAGTTTGAACCGTTTAGAGAAACCTTTCCAGTAGACAATGCAAACAGGGCTTCGGAGCAGTTCTCAGCCCTGGCTGCCATTCAGAACCTCTGCAGGTGGGGCCAGGCACCAGTGTTTCTTAAAAGCTCTCCAGGTGAGTCTAGTGCGCAGCCAAGGCTGAGAACAGCCCCTCTAGATCAGCGTGACCGAGAGAACTTTCTGTGACGATGGAAATGTTCTGTATCCACACTGACCAACTGATCACATGTGACTATCCAACACTTGAAACGTGGCTACCATGCCTAAGGAAGAGAATTTTAAATTTTATTCAATTTTATTTAATTGAAATGTAAACAGCCCTATGTGGCTAGTGGCTACCATATTGGACTGCACAGCCCTAGGCTATGGACTGGCTCTGTGGCCCTGGTCAAATCATGGAGCCTCTTGGACTTCAGTCTCCTGGTGAGGCCAGTAAGGAGCTCAATGTCCTGTCCACAGTAGCCAGAGCAAATCTTGGTCCCCATGTCTCACTGCCCACCTGAGGGGGTTATGGTGACACCAGCCCAAACCCAGGGAACTTGGTCAAGGTAAAAGAATGCAGGCCACAGCTCCTCAGGCCCCCTAGCAGATCTTTGCTGGCTGCCCCCAGAGCATTTGGGGTGGGAAGATAGGGCCAGGTACCAATGAAACCGGAGGATAATCAGATTTCCCTCCTCCAGGGAGCCCTGAATTGTGGTGTGGTGAACCAGCCTGGAATAGTGCCAACAATAAAATAACTGACTATTTTCATTTACCAAAGGTCACTGTACACCAAAAGCCATGTGAAGTTTTAGCTACAACCCCAGGAGTAGTACAATATTATGCCCATTTTACTGATGGGGAAACTGAGGCACAGAGTCACTAAATGGGGAGCCAGGATTCGAACCCAAGTCTGTCTGCCTGCACAGCCTGAACCCTTAATCCTAACAAAAAGAGGAAGAAGAACTAAGAATCCTTAAATAGTTCAGGGCCCAGTAAAACTTAAGAGGGCCTCAAGACTTTACCCCCAACAGCAGGGATGGAGGCCGAAACAGTCCCAAGGCAGCGAACCCCACATTAGAAAGTCCTTTGTTGTCTCATATTTTATCTTAAACTGTCAAGTAAGTTTAGCATCTACTCTTCTTTTCAATATCTTTTTAATATCAAATTAATGTTTTAATGATGGACCAGTTAATGCCAAGTCACACTGATATTTAGGAAGATGCCCCAGTTTATCCTGTGGTTTTATGACCCGCCACCATCCTCAGTTTGAGAAGCAGGGCCATAGAAGGGTCATTCAGCTGTTTATCAAAGGGAGTGGGACTGCCAAGACCAGGACCACAGGGGGCCTAGGGCACAGGGTTTCCAGAGTCTAGGTACAGCTGGTTTAAATACCAATTCCCAGACCAGTCACAGAGTCTGACTCCATGGATCTGGGTGGGGCTGGGAGCCCACATTTATAACAAGCCCCTGGGATTGTGACATGGTGGTCCCAGGACCTGATAAAGAAACCCTGGGCACCATAGTGCCTGGACAGCTCCATCCTACCCTTGAGGAGCTAGGGGACTGTCACTCAGCTATGATGCCTTGGCCAGGGACCCAGACTCGACAAGTCCTGGCTCTGACCCCAACCTGCTCTGTGATCCCATCTCAGGTCTC